TATGTTCTGATGAATGGATTTTGGAGAGCGGCTACAGTGTTTGGACAGGTTCAAGCCTCAGACTAATGAGAGGGCACAGTCCTCTCATGGCCACATCCCAGCCTGGAGGGCAGAGCCCTCCTAGCACAATTATAGCCAATAGCTATAGCTGTAAGCTTGAACCTAGAGTCCGAACACGTGGTCCCACGTGTCTCAGTGATGTGGGTGTAATAGTGTTCAGGTGTATGTAATTGAATAGATTTGAAACCCATGAGAATGTTGTAACCACCCCTTACTTTGCCTCATGGAATCTGGCTATAAAATAGACACAGCTTACAGGCTATGGTGCCGCCTCTCCATCAGAGAGGACAGCGTCCCACCCAGGCCCAGCTTTTTTCTCGTTTGTCTTTTTTCAATCCTTCACCACCCCCTCTCAGGCTCACCAAACCTGGCTAAGTTGGCTTGACTGAAAAGAAGGCCGTAGCAGACCCTGAAGCTTGTGGGAACTATACTTTCCCAACCTCAACACCACATACAGCCCCCAGGAAGATCTGCTGAAATCTGTATTTTCTTTTTTTTTAATTTTTTTTTAGCCGAAACCAGTTTGGCTCAGTGGATAGAGCATCGGCCTGTGGACTAAAAGGTCCCAGGTTCGATTCCAGTCAGGGGCATGTACATTGGTTGCGGGCACATCCCCAGTGAAGGGAGTGCAGGAGACAGCTGAACGATGTTTCTCTCTCATCCATGTTTCTAACTATACCTCTCCCTCTCTGTAAAAATCAATAAAATATTTTTTTTAAATATTTTTTATTTATTTCAGAGAGGAAGGGAGAGGGAGAGATAGAACATCAATGATTATAGAGAATCATTGATTGGCTGCCTCCTGCATGCTCCACATATGACCTCCTTGTTCATAGGTCAAAGTCCAACCACTAAGTCACACTGGCAGAGCAATAGCATACTTCTTTTTTTTTTAATATATTCTTATTGATTTCAGAGAGGAAGAAAGAAGGAGAGACAGATAGAAACATCAATGATGAGAGAGAATCACTGGTTAGCTGCCTCCTGCATACCCCCTACTAGGGATCGAGCCCACAACCTGGGCATGTGCCCTTGACCGGAATCAAACCTGGGACTTTCAGTTGGCAGGCAGACACTCTATCTACTGAGCCAAACTGGCTAGGGCAGCATATCTTCTTATATTTGAACCATAACTGTCTCCTGAGCCATTTCCCTAATTAAATTTATTACCAAGGGCAGAATAGTGGATTTTTTTTCCTGCCAAGTATTCATTCACTATATCTAATGAAATCATTCAGAGAAACCACCCTTATTCCACTTTCAGACCATGTGGATAAACACAGAACCCAGACCTAAGTAAATTAGCACCTAACATTTCCTAAGTTATAGTGATTGTTTCAGGGACGGGCACATAACACAGAGCCAAAAATGAAAGTCTTTTGTTCCTCCCCACTAAGACTAGAGATAAGAAGATGTAATATGAACTGCTGCAAATATGTTGATGCCACAAAGGAAGAGGCAATCCAGAGGAAGATGTAACTTATTCACTCACTGAACAAAAATCTATTGAGTACCCACTCTGTACAAGACACTGGTCTAGCTGAAACCGGTTTGACTCAGTGGTAGAGTGGTAGAGTGTGGGTCTGCAGACTGAAAGGTCCCGGGTTTGATTCCAGTCGGGCATGTGTGTTGGTTGTGGGCACATCCCCATTGGGGGGGGTGCAGGAGGCAGCTGGTTGATGTTTCTCTCTCATCGACATTTCTAGCTCTCTATCTCTCTCCCTTCCTCTCTGTAAAAAATCAATAAAATATATTTTTTTTAAAAAGACACTGGTCTAAGTGCAGGCACTACAGTGGTGAAATATATATTCCTTACATTCATAGAATTTATAATCTAGTAGAGGACATACAATAACAGCAAACACTTACATAGCAGTTACTATGTGTCAAGCACTACTCTAAGCACTTTACACATATCAATTCTTGTAATAGTAACAATCCTAACAGCATACTATCATCATTATTTTATTTATTTATTTTTAATTTTTTTTTTTTTTCAGAGAGGAAGGGAGGAGAGTTAGAAACATCGATGAGAAACATGAATCAGCTGTCTCCTGCACACCCCCTACTGGAGTCCTATGTATTTATAGGACTCCACAACCAAGGTACATGCCCTTGACCAGAATCAAACCCCGGACCCTTGAGTCCGCAGGCCAATGCTCTATCTACTGAACCAAACCGTCCAGGGCCCATTATCCTTATTTTAAAATATGAGGAAACTGAAGTAGATAGAAGTTACTTCCCCAGGTCACGCAATAAATAATGGAGCTGAGAATCAAATCTAGGATGTTTGGCTCAATAACCTGTGTGCTTATTCACCATATTATAAACTACCTTGTCAAGAGGGAAGAAAGGTCCTATGAGAAAATTTAACCAATCTTGTAAGGAACAGTCTAAAAGGAACAGTCTTTTTCTTTAAAAAGAAAAAGAGAATACCAGGCAATTGGGGACTGAAAAAAATTCAACTGAGCTGAAAAAATTTCACTTGAATCAAGTGACAAAAAGATGGGACTGGGAGTGACTTGGTAGACTGGCGCCATGAGGAGGTTGGTAAGATCAAAGACCCTGAAGACTCTGAGGCAGAAATGAGTTTAGTATATTTAAGAGATGAAAAGCCAATGTGGCTGAAGCCTTAGGAGTAAGCCCTCAATATATGCAAGGACTGTGGATTAATCTAGTTGGAAGAGGAGGCCATAGGCACCATCTCCTTCCAACTCTATCCCCTTAAATCTTTCCACTGTCACTGCACTATTTAAGTAAAATAAAATGACACCTATTTGGAACAAGATTTTGAATCAGGGTTGTTTTTTTTTTGCTTTTCAGATGAAAGCGATTAAGCATTTTTTTTTTAAATGCTGACATGAACACAGCACAAAGATAAACTGTCCATACAGAAAATAAATTTATGGAAAAAGTTTTCTGAAGGTGCAAGAACATTTAGCCTTAAGATATGAACATTTATTGACAACCTGCATTGTGTTAAATTCTAGATTCACATGAACATATATTTTTATTATCATCTTCATGTTACAGGTGAGAAAACTGACACCTGAAAAGTTTAAATACTTATCCAAAAATCACATAACTTGTGTCAAACTGAGATATGAACCTAGACAGCCTGTGTTTCATTTGATTAGCCTCTCCTAACCTCACAAAATACCAAATTCTCCCCCAATGTCAGTTGAGGGAAATTTTCTGGGAAAGAAGAGAATTAACAAGACACTTTGACTCATTTCCTCTAATTTTTTATCCTCCCTGGGATTCTTCCATAGTACTGTCTATTGCCAGAACTGTAGTATTTAATATGTGTTCCTTGAGTAATTTTGCATTTATGAAATTAAACTCCTCATTCACTGTTTAACCTGAAATTCCCTTCACCTTAATTGCAGCGAAAATGCATTTCCCCTTACTGTCCATGAAAGATTTTGTATTTTCCTGAGTGCTGGCTGTCCTGTATTTAGCGGCGTCTTGCTTTTTGGGCATATGGGTGCCCAAAGAACATGCTGAATATCATGTTCCCAAAAGCTGTTTCTTCCACTAATAGAGCAGGCAGCCTGAAAGCTGGAACCTGGTGCCATGTGCAAACCATCAGTGTATTTGGCTGCCCTGGCTCTGTCAATACTGTGTCACTCAGCTTCACTGGACACTCAGCCTCCATTCCTAAAACAGCAGCCTAGCCAGCTGGTTCTCATCTTCCAATCATTCTCTCCTCTCTGTCCTGTATCATCAATTTTTTCCTCTCTACTATGAGGTCATTGCTATGAACAAACAAAATCGCCCATCTTAAAAAAAAAATAAAACTCTCTCTTAACCCTACTCCTTTCTCCCCTCTTCGGTTACCACTCCCGTCTGCTCTGCATCTCTAGGAAGAGTTTTATATATATTCTGGCTATCCTCAATTCCTCCCCTCTCATTTTCTCTTAAACCTATTCCATTTAGGCTTTTATCCAGATCACTCTACCGAACTGTTCCGGTCAGGTCACCAACATCACACACACACACACACACACACACACACAGCCCCCAGGATGCAAGCGATGGGAGAATTTTGTTTTGTTTATTGGTGTATCCTCAGAATCCTGACAGGGCCTGTATACAGCATATACTTAATGAATTCCTATCCTCTTCAATTCCCGCAGCAGTTCTCTCTCCATTTCGAGAGTCTGATTAAGAAACTCCAAAGGATGAAGAGGGCTTTAGGCCACAAATCCGCCAAGGTAAATCAAGCTCCTCAGGCCGCTAAGGCAGTCTGGGGGAGCCTAGATGACTAAACAGTTTCTTCTCCTTTTGCAGACTCTCTGCCTTTTCTCCAGAATGGAAGGACCCCAGGGAGGAGACGGTAGCTGAGGTTTCCAGCCGGGAAATCGGGAGAGCTGCTCATCAGGAACACCGACCCAGGCATCACTCCTCGCAGGAGGCTCGCATACAGTGAAAGTGAAGGCGGCCGGAGGCCGCTCCCGACCGCGAGACGAGTTCAGTGTGGAATCGGGAGAGGATCCTGCAAGCCTGAGGCTGGAGAGGACTAAAACGACCCTTACGGAGCCCGGTGGGTCAGTGCCCGCCGCTTCGCCACCACCACCACGACTCCTTCGGTGCGCGGGTTTCTCCAGCTGGGTGAAACCTGGCGCTAGGGGAACGATTTCTGCCGCATGGCCTTGTGGGAGTTGTAGTCTTTCGGGAGACTGTGCTAGAAGGGCCTTTTATAAAGCTGGCAGAAAAGAAAAAAAACAAAACAAAACACGATGTTTATAGGACTCCAAAAACGATCATCATGCTCTCACTCTAAATAATTACTTCGCCCTTTCCTGGGTCTCGGCCAGTTTCCTGAGTAGTTCTCCCGCACCCCCTCCCCACGTCGCCGGTGCCGCCCCTCTGAGGGCCAATCCAGCTCTCTCCACTCGCTCGCCTCCTTGCCGTTCTGGCCAATCGCAGGGGAGTTCCCGGTCAATTCCCAGAGTGCTTTGCGGCTGTGATGGCTGCCCCCGGCCGGCGCGGGGCTGCGCTCTTCCCAGCGGTGTTAGGGCTTTGGCAGCTGGGCCCTGTCGCCGCGAGGGAATGGGCGACCCGGTTCCCGTCCCTCCTGGGCTTTCAGCGGAGGTGCGTGTCCTGTGCTGCAGGCGCCACTTCCTCTGGCCCCCTCCTGGCCTCAGCTTCTAGGCGTTATGGCCCGAACTCGGCCCTGGATCGCATCCTCGGACTCTCTCAGCCCGACAGTTCGTTAACCTTGACTCCTCGCGTCCCCGCCGTGTCCATGAACAGAGGTAAAGGGCTCAGATAGATTTGCCCGAGACTGTCACGGTGTTTATCAGTGAAAGTACCGTATCGGGGAAAACCCTCAATCTGGGGATATTATGTTTTGGCCCTGTGTTATAGAAAACAACCTAAAGACCTAGCGAGAGAGGAGCAGTGAAAGATGTCAGAGGGGAGAGATACTAGGTTCTAAGAGTTTGGAAGCCAGAGGGACAACCAGAAACACTCACAAAACACGAGATTGAAGGACCACAGGCCAGGCAGACTTGTAGCTCTCTGACCCCACGTGGGAAGCTGACTCTATCCAATAAGTACCCTCTGTACTTGTCAAGACACAGAACTACACCTGGGAAATAGCACCCTCTATTGTAGAGGAGTAGTATAGACTAGATCTGGTAGGGAGTCTGGACACATAAACTGGTCATTGTAAAGCAAGGTCACAAAAAACTGATAAAAAAAAAAAAAGGCTCAGAATGCTTTCAGAGCCTTCATTACTCCCTTAGGAAGGTGTGACTGCCAGGGATGGAGGGATGTCTGGCTTTATCTGGTCTGTGTTCTCGTGTACATATGTATTTACAGGCACAACCACACAGGGTAGTTCCACACAGTAATTGAGTTTTGTTTGTTGGTTTGTTTTTTAGTAATTGAGTATTAAGTGCCAGGGATTGTGCTGAGTGGTTTTACACAATTTCTAATTGTCTAAAGAAGGTTATAAGTAGGTATTGTTAATATCATCATTTTACATATGAGAAATCTAAGGAATTTAGAGAAGTTAGAGGAGTTGATAAAGTCATATAAACTAATTAATGGGCAAAGTCTCAAAGCCACGTCTCAGCTTCAACCTGGAACCTAATCTTGTATCCCTACTCCCTTTGTGGGTGGGTAGGACTTTGTGCCTGACAGGATCTAGATTGTACTCTCCCTCATTCCCCTCCTGTCCCCACATACAGATGAGCAGAATCACCTCTTGGCTCATCCCCCCAACATGCCTGCGAATCCCCGCATCCTACGAGTGGCCATTCTGGGTGCCCCGAATGCAGGAAAGTCAACGCTCTCCAACCAGCTGCTGGGCCGAAAAGTATGCTACATCCTTGACAACCCCTCTCTCCCCACTCCCCCCTCCCCTTTTCATCTCTCCATGTGTTGTTTTAAAGGGACTGGGACCTCACTTGGAACTTCTTTGTTTCTGTCAGGTGTTTCCTGTCTCCAAGAAGGTGCACACCACCCGCTGCCAGGCTCTGGGGGTCATCACGGAGGAAGAAGCTCAGGTGGTGGGTACCTGCAACAGGACAGAGGGTGCAGCCAAAAGGACCTCCCCTAGTGTTAGGCCTGAAAAAAATGACGTTTAGACTCCTGTGAGGAAAAAGGGTCTCCTTTCATTAAGGCCTGGAGCAGTTGTCTCTGTACCTTTCCCCTCCGGCATCTAGTCAGAAAGGTCTCATTTTCTCTTCACTGCCTACTAATCTTCTGTGTAATCACAGTCATCATCTTCCTGGATCCCAGCTACAATCTCAGCAAAGTTAGAGGGTAAATATCTAGTCAGCTTGGCCAAGGAGTGGGGGGCAGGAGGTAGGGGAAGCAGGCTCCTGGCATGAAGGGTGGCCTTTCTCTCACTTCCAGTCATAATCTTTCCTCCTCAGGGCAGGGGGTCTGAGAAACCTTCTTTTCTGATTTTAGATTCTACTTGACACACCTGGCCTGATCAGCCCTGTTGAAAAAAAAAGGTAATTGTTATGGAAATAAGGTTATAGCAGGGGGGGAACGTGTTGAAGAGTGGATGGGGAAATTCCATCGTTGGGGCTGGAAAAGCCCCTTATCACATCCCATCCCTCATCAGGGGTAAATCAGTCATAAGGCCCCTCCTGACTTATCTACGTTTGTCCCTCAGGCACAATCTGGAGCTCTCTTTGTTGGAAGATCCCTGGAAGAGCATGGAATCTGCTGATCTGGGTTAGGCTCAAGATGGGAATCTGAAGCCCAACTTTCACCGTTGTGGCCTCTCATTCCTGATCGTTTGGGAGAGGGGCTTGGCCAGAGCTCATACCCTGGAAGTTCTTGGGGGGTGAGGAAAAGAGTGGTCATATCTTTGTTCTCCCCACCCTTCCACCTTCTTCCAGTCATAGTCCTTGTGGATGTCTCTGACAAGTGGACTCGGAACCAGCTCAGCCCCAAAGTGCTCCAGTGCTTGACCCAGTTCTCCCAAGTCCCCAGCATCCTTGTCATGAACAAGGTGAGCACCACATATCTGATGAAGGCGTTTATTTTCCTCCCAGGCCCCCGCCTTGCTGACCACACACCCTCTGCTCATTCCCCATGCCCAGGTAGATTGCCTAAAGAAGAAATCAGTTCTCCTGGAGCTCACGGCCGCCCTCACCGAAGGGGTGGTCAATGGCAAGAAGCTCAAGATAAGGCAGGCCTTCGGGTCCCGGCCAGGCACCGGCTGCCCCAGCCCAGCAGCTCAGGACCCAAACACACAGTCTGGGAGAGGCCCTCGGAGGACTGGCTGGCCCCACTTCCAAGAGATCTTCATGTTGTCAGCCCTGAGCCAGGAGGATGTGAAAGTACTAAAGGTCAGTCGTGGCCATAGCCTGGCCTTTGGCTTCCACCACGTGAAGTCAAGCCTCGGAGTTCCTATTGGAAGCGAGAGTGAGTAGGAAAGTCCTGGTTGGAACTGAGATGCTCACCTACTCTCCCTCTGTACCCCCAGCAATACCTCCTGGCCCGGGCCCGGCCAGGGCCCTGGGAGTTCCACAGTGAAGTCCTCACGAGCCAGACACCTGAGGAGATCTGCTCCAACATCATCCGAGAGAAACTCCTAGAACACCTGCCCCTGGAGATGCCCTACAACGTGCAGCAGGTACAGGCCCGGGGGGAGGACCTGGGGCTCTCCACCAGCTGCACTCAGAGCAAGACAGCCGGGTGCTGGAGGGGCAGGGGTTTGGATCTGTCTGACTGACGTTTCCTCGTGCAGAAAACCATTGTGTGGGAGGAAGGGCCAAGTGGGCAGCTGGTGATCGTACAGAGGCTTCTGGTACACAAAGAATCACATGTGGTAAGCAGGGCTGGGCTTGGAGGAGAGAGGAAGGCTCTCTTAGGCAGGGGCTCTCTTCCTGATGGGGAGCTCTGATAGCCAGCTCAGGGTCCCTCTCTTTTATCCCACCCTCAGAGGATCCTGATTGGTCCAAAGGGGAGCCTGATTTCCAGGATTGCAGATGAGGTGGGCCGCGACCTCATGAACATCTTCCTCTGTGATGTTCAGCTCCGCCTCTCTGTGAAGCTCTCCGATGGACCACCCTCTGCTCTCGCAGCCCATGCTTCTGGCAGGAGCTACTGACCAGGATTGTCCCTGCCTGGAACCTGCAGAGACTAGTGGGGGGCATGGTACTGACTAGAACCTGTCTTAGCTCAGTCCCCAGCTAATTCCTCTCACTGGGGACACAGGCACTTTGGTCTAGATACAGGCGTCTTCAAGCTATGGCCCGCGGGCCACATGCGGCCCGCAGAGGAGTCTGATCCGGCCCGCCCGAGGTGTTACAGTAGGAATTAGTAGTTCATATAGTCCGGCCCTCCAGCTCTCTGAGGGACCGTGATCTGGCCCCCACTTTAAAAAGTTTGAGGACGCCTGGTCTAGAAGTTGGCCCGTTGGTGGGAGCAGTGGCACCCTGCTTCCTCCTGTCATTGGGCCCAAAGTTTCTCCCCGAGTTGCCAGTGGGTAGCAGAGAGATCTATTTTTTTTAATTCTTTATTGTTAAAAGTATTACATTTCCCCCTTCTTTTCCCCCCATTGACCTCTCCCCAGCCGCCTCCACCCCCCAGAAAGATCTTTTCCTCCCTCTCAGATCCTCCACCTGAAGTCACATAAGAACCCATGTGTCCCGAGTGAGGTGGTGCCTCCCACCTGTTCCCCCCAAGTCCTTGTTACCTCCCACCCCTCATGCTCCCCATTCTTGGATCCAAATAAAGTTAAAAGACAAGCCTTCTGCTTCTCACCTTTATTTCTTTAGAACAGAAAAGAGAAAACTTACCCATCCCCTCACCCCCACCCTGTTGTCTGAGCTGGAGTCTCCCTCCCTTCCAGTCGTCTGCTCCAGGGTCCCAAGTTCTCTTCTTGGCACGTTTTCTGGGTGCAGCAAAAGAACCGTTACCATTACTAAACTCAGTAATGGTAACGGTTTCCTCGCCATTCCCGAGTGCCCTGTCCGCAGGCAGGCTGTGATAGGCCGATCGGTGAGCGAGATGGGCTTGTGGCATCCTCCGCCCTTCTCATCGGGCTCCAGAGCTGAGGGGGCCCGGACTAGTACATCATCTATACTGTAGTGTCTCATTGCAAACTTACAGTATACGATGATATCCCAGCCAGGGCCCTGCAGGGGTCACAGGAAGCGGCTGAGAGAGCGCTGCAGCGGGGAAAGCCAGGGCCTGGGGGCAGAGCAGGACGGGTCAGGACACACAGAGCTCCCCTGTTCTGGCTCCACAGCGCCTGGCCTAGCATTTTGATTGTGTAGTCAAGAGCTTCCCATGTGCGCCGAAACCGGTTTGGCTCAGTGGATAGAGGTCAGCCTGCGGACTGAAGGGTCCCGGGTTTGATTCCCGTCAAGGGCATGTACCTTGGTTGAGGCACATCCCCAGCAGGGGTCGTGCAGGAGGCAGCTGATCGATGACTCTCTCATTGATGTTTCTAACTCTCTATCCCTCTCTCTTCCTCTCTGTAAAAAATCAAAAAATATATTAAAAAAAAAAAAAAGTTTCCCATGTGGGTACGGGGAAGGGAACTGGCCCAGGGAACGCTGCAGAGCAAGAACCTGAATGAAATCGGCCTTAGGGACCCAGCACAGCGTTAAACCTGAGATCTCTTAATGAGGGAGAAGATCGCCTCTGGTTAGACCAACCCACAGACCCAAAGAAGGGGCACTCACCTAGGCAGGAACTGCAGACTGGGGAGGAAGAGGCGCTGTCCCTGCCTCTACTCCCAAGTGCTCGCCTTTTAATCTGTTGGCCCCTCCCCTGGGTGTGGCACTTGCCCCTGGCGAAGGCCCTGCCTCTTAACCCTTTCCCTGCTGAACACCTGGAAGGAAGGTCCCTGGCCCCTCTCCCTATTTTGCCCTTTCTCACATGCTCTTATGGACCTTGCTAAGCCTAGGATCCACTCTTTACTCTCATCCCATAAAGCTGGTCACCTATCTGCCAGGTCAGGGAGGAGAAAAAGCAGCCTCACCCCATTTTTCAGGGCTTATGAGAATTGCTGGTGGAGGTTTTTTGTTTTGTTTTGTGTTTTCATGGGACTGTTAGTTGAATCTCAGTAAGGTAGGGAGGATCCTTACAGCTGGATCTCTAGATTCCTGGGACATGCTCTGGCCTAAATTTCAGTCCCGAAGTCCCTGTCTACTTTTGTGCTAAGCCCAAGGAGGCTAGACCTAGGCAGGCAGACCCCTGGCCCACCTCAGCCATGGCAAGGTCCTCTAGGTATGTGCCCTGCTGGGAAATTTGAAGGCAGCTGAATCCCAAACTCTTGTGAGAGCCCACATAAGAGGGCACTTAGATCAAGGCACTTAGCCTGGCAGTGTTTGGTTCTCTGCCTCTGGGGAAGATGAGACTCCTGGGGTAGAGACTCCTCAAAGCAGGGCTTCTATTAAGAACCCATTCTTGGGGGACACACATCTGCTTCTTCCATCTTTCCTCTCCTAGACAATCTGGTCTGTGTTCTGGGAGGCAGTTACCCTCCTTCTCTGCAGGGGAAGATGAGGCCAGGATGGGGAGTGGGAGGCGAGACCCAACCTTCTGGTTCCTTGGAGGTGTCCTAGTTCCTGATGCCACAGAACCTTGGCGCATGTTTTTCCCTGGTTGGCATGATCTCCCCTCCTTTCTTGTCTAGTAGCTCCTGTTCCCACTTCAGATGTCTAAAGGTCACCTCTTCTGGGAAGTCTTCCCTGGTTAGTTAAACCCCCCAGTTATGGGCTCATTTATTTGTATGATTATTTGCATTAAGTAAATAATTATGAGGGTCTTATTCATAAACTAATGTATCTCTACCACAGAGTAGGGACTAGACATTCATGTCAAATGACTGACATGGAACTGAATCTGATGTAATGTGGGGGAGGAGAGAAACTTTGGCCTGAGAAGACAGAAGGACTAAGCCCAGGTGTTGGCTCTCTCAGGCAGGTCATTTTCTCTCTTGGACTGTCCCTGTTCTCCTTGGTAAATAGCAATGATAACAGCCCCCAGTTCACAGAGAGCAGGTGCTTAGCTACCAGTAAAACACTTAACACAGTGCTAGTGCCGGCCCACGGGAGGGGGTCAAGCAAGTTAATTCCTGCCTCACCCTCTTCCCACAGGCTCACTGAAGGCCACAGGTGAGGCCTGTTGTTGAACATCTGAAAGCTTATAGCATATTCTTTTTTAATTTAAATTATTCTTTTTTTTTTTTAAATATATTTTATTGATTTTTTACAGAGAGGTAGAGAGAGGGATAGAGAGTTAGAAACATCGACGAGAGAGAATCATCGATCAGCTGCCTCTTGCACACCCCCTACCGGGGATGTGCCCGCAACCAAGGTACATGCCCTTGACCGGAATTGAACCCGGGACCTTTCAGTCCGCAGGCCGACGCTCTATCTACTGAGCCAAACCGGTTTCGGCTAAATTATTCTTATTGATTTCAGACAGGGAGAGATAGAAACACCAATGACGAGAGAGAATTGTTGATTGCTTCCTGCACACCCCCATTGGCCTGCAACCTGGGCATGTGCCCTGACCGGGAATCAAACTATGACCTCCTGGTTCATAGGTCAGTGCTCAACCAGCCAGGCTAGAAGATTCTTATTTGTTTTTTATTTTTTTATTTTTTACAGTCCTCACCCAAGGATATGTTTTCTTATTGATTTTTAGAGAGGAAGAGGGAGAGAGAGAAGCATGGATGTGAGAAACATCCATCAGTTGCCTCTGATACACAGCCCAAATGGGGATTGGAACCACAACCTAGGTATGTGCCCTGACTGGGAATTGACAGGACAGCAGCACTCCAGTCAACTGAGCCACCCGGCCAGGGTACATGAAATATTCTTGAAAGCAGGTCAAGGCCATGGAGAGAGCCCAGGTTTAGAGGTAACAGGCCTTGAGTGACAGTCCCAACTCTACTGCATTCAACTCTGTGACTTTGGACCCAAGTTTCCCTCAGCTTCAGTTTCCTCAAATATAAAATGGGAGCGATCCATACCCACCTCCTGGTTGCCAGGATGATGGATATGAGCACTTTAAGAGAATATCCCCGGCCCAAAATGATGTCACTGTGCTAAAAGCCCATGATAGCAAACCTAGATTATCTGATATAATTGAAGTTTTGACCTTTCCCAGAAATACAGTAATCAGTCTGGAATTTCCGGGTCATGCATCAGTAAGGTAATCTGTCATGTGAGCCCTCTCCATTCCCCCTTCCCCCCATAGAAAGAAGAGGCAATCCACATGATAAAAACCCTTCTCATCCTCCCCTCCCCTTAAAAAAGTCAAGGACCCCGAATATTCCTTTCTTTTGTTACTAGCTCCCTTGCTCTACTCTTTGTCCTATAACAACCCCCTCAGAGAGCCTTTCTAGTTGCTAGATGGGATTCATGAATCCCTTAAAGCCAACTGGACCTTGCAGTTTACTTGGTTGAATTTTGTGTTGTTTGTTTGTTTGTTGTTGTTTTTAACAGCATTCATTTCAGACGCAGATGAGAGCCTACCCTGTAGAGAACCAATGTCAGTTTTCATCCCTCCTTTTCTCTCCCATGAGCATGTGACTGGGGGCAAAGTGCCACTTCACGGAGTTGTAAGAATTAAGTGAGAAATAAGTGTGAGAAGCCTTTGTAAATCCAGGTGCTCTAACCAAGTGAGGAATTGTGTCTATTCTTGCCTCTCTCTGACCCCCTTTCCTGTCCTGTGACCCCTTCTACTCAGAGACTCCCCAGAGAGTTCAGCTCCTTTCTCGGAGGAGTAAAGGCCTCAGGCATTAGGGCTAAACTTTGTCATTTACAGTCCAGCCTCGTGCTTGACCTCCAAAGGTGAGCAGGGACAGAACCCAGGGGTCCTGGAGGCACAGGAGAACAGTATCTCAGCCAAGCAGAGGTGTGTGGCTGCGGCCCCAGGCTGGGGCGGAGGGGGCTGTGCTCAGGGTGTGGACTGGAGGAGAGTGAGCCTGGGTGGGGTGGTCTGGGGGCCCTGATAAGCAGACGTGTGGTTATCAGGGTGGGGGCCTTTCTGCTTATCCGTAGCCAGCTGGGGCCGAGGTAGGACCTGAGGACACTTCCCGCCATCTCCTGAAGGCTGCTTGTAATCCCTGTGCCTCCTTCAGCCCTAAAGGGGGGTCTGGGCGGGGGTCCTTCCTTTCTCCCAGTCCGATGGAGACGCTACCCTTTGCATGGCTAGCATGGGGGTGGGGACCTTGGGTTCAGCCTTGCATCCTAAGAGCTAGACTAGGAGCTGCAAGGCTCTCCTGAGGACTAGTCTGGGACCTTGTCCTTCTCAAGTCTAATTCTAGTCCTTTCCATTGCAACTTTTAGGCCTTGACTCTTATTTAGACATTTTTTTTTTAATTTTCACCCAAGGATATTATTTCTATTGATTTTTAGAGCAGCGGTTGTCAACCAGTGGTGGTCTGTGAGGTCAGAAAGGTTGGCAACCGCTGTTTTAGAGAGTAGAGGGAGGGAGGGAGGAGGATGAGGAAAGTGAGAGGAACTTCAATGAAAGAGAAACACAGTGGCGGTTGCCTCCTGCTGACCAGGGCTGGGGATTGAACCTACAACCCAGGTATGTGCCCTGGACCAGGAATTGAATCCACAACCCTTTGGTCAACGAGCCAACACTCTAATCACTGAGCCAAACCCACCAGGCTTTTGAATGAAGTCTTTAAACTATGTGGCAAGTTATGAAGTTATAGTCCTTCAAAATCATGGAGTTCAGGTCCCTCATGTATATAGGAGAAGAAACTGAAGCCCAGAG